GCAAAAATGTGACAGGATTTGTCCACAGGAATAATGCATGAGATTGGGGAGAGCTCTGACATTTATGGGCTGTAACCAGCCAAGTCATACTCAGAGTAGGCCCACTGAAATTATGGCCCATTCATTTTTAATAGGTCTACTCTGAGTATGACTAAAACTGGGTACAGGTTGCACGTATTAGCTGCTCCAACTAGTGTTCCTTTATTTTCTGTAGCAAAAAGTGATCCTGTGTGTTTTCAAACCATATCTTAAGAATTACCTCTTAACTGATTGCATTTTCATTCCTTTTTATGCTACAGAGCCAAAATTCTCTGTAATGCATGTAAAAATGCTGTGCTTGAAGCTTACCATTAGAAAAAGAAGACAACTACCCACTTTAATTTTGCATATGATAAAGGAAACACCCACAGGATACAAGTTGCCAAATATTTGCCCTAGGAAGACAGTTGTATTTATTTGAACTTTTAGCAAGTGATTAAATGACACGGATCTGCTATTGTTACAGTTGTATCCTGCCTTTGAAGTGCCCTCCAGACTGTCAGTATTTTGTGGGAGGGATTCAAATCCAAATCAGAAATGTAGGGTTGTTCCCAACAGTAGTTATTCTCAGAGCAGTTCTTCTCATTGAAATTAATGAGCAAGGCGTACATATTTAGGTCTACTAATTTAAGTGGGTGTACTCTGAATGAAACTTCATTGGATACAACTCTTGGGTTTGCAGAACTAAAGTGGATTCAACAGCAAATCTGCTTTTTAAAAGACCCCAGACTTTTATGGTAGGGAAACAGTCCTCTGTTCAAAGCCTCTGCAGCACCTTTGAAGAAAAGCTGGGGTGGGGTGGGGTGGGAAGATTAATCGAATTGTAGAGTTGGAAGGGACCCCAAGGCTCATCAAGTCCAACCCCCCTGCATTTCAGGAATCTCAGTTAAAGCATCCATGACAGACGGCCATCCAGCCTCTGCTTAAAAACTTCCAAGGAAGGAGACTATTGTGGGGGGGAATACAGATGACTAAACTTCAAAAATAGGGTTTTAAGTTCAATATTGATATTAACACCCATCCAACAAAATGAAAGAACTTGTGTTTGCTATTATTTTAGTCAAAACAGATCTCTTTTATAAGAATTCAAATTTCAAACGTGTTCATAATAAAAATCAACAAAAGCAATGTTATCTGTGATTATAATGTATTTTCACTGAACTCTACTCACCTATAGGTGACAGTTCTGGGGAAAACTTAAATACCACCACAGGAGAGCTAAGTTCATCTTCAACCTTAGAAATGGGACATTAAAATAAAAATAAAAATAAAACCCACGTTCCAAAATGTTGTGAGAGCATCTTAAGGCTGTGTACAGAAAATTAATTCTCTAGGGCCCATGTCATTAGCACAACTGGCATTAGTGCTAACATTCAAATTGCAAGAGAACCAAGATACCAGATTTGAAAGACAGCCTGCGTGGCTTAGTGGTTTACAGAGTTGGACTAGGATCTGCGAGACCAGGGTTCAAGTCCCTGCTGAGCCATGGAACTCCCTGGGTAACCTTGGGCCTGCCACAATCTTGCAGCCTAACCTGACTCAAGAATTGTTGTGAGGATAAAATCGGGACAAAGAGAATATGCCACCCTTGAGCTTCATGGAAGAAAGGTAGGCTATAAATGTGATAAAGCAAAATATAAAAACCAAGGCTGCAATCCAATAAGCATTTTCCCAAGTGTAAGTCCCACTGAATTCCCCAAGGTGGTAAAACACCTCCCACTTATGCCAGGTGTTATTATCCCAGACCCACAGCTCAGTTTATGCAGGCAAAGAATCACAGAGGGTTTCAAACATACTTCTTTACACAACCGTCCAGATTCGTTAGAAGGCCATGCCTGTTTGCGTTGGATTTTGTCTAAAATCTGTCACCAGAGGTGGATTTAGGGAAGTGTGACCAGTTCAGTTGCACTGGGCGTCGAGCCTCAGGGGCACTGCAGGGACGTTGCAACTATGATTTGCAATGGAGCGTGAGAGGCGGGGAGGGGGTGCCAAATTTTGGCGTCGCACAGGGCACCACTGAAATCTGAGACCTCAAGGTCTGCCACTGTTGTCACTGTACTATATATGCAACAAGACCACTTTTCCTAAGCTGAAACAGGAATGTGGCAAGAAGATAGGGTGGGTTATGGGCTTAATATATTATTGCTATTGTTTTAAAAAATTAAGGTGCAAAAGGAAAACTTACTGAGGTTTTAATAAAATCCTGATTCTTCAAGTTTTCCAACAGCCGTTGACTCTAAAAGAGTAGATGAAAGTTGGGAGCGGGAAGGAGATTAAATAAACAACAACTACATAAGCATTACAAAACTCATTAAATTCTTGATGGGTGTGACAGCTCGATCAAGATTTAAATTTGTAGTGGCAAGCCAGAATCAATCTAAGATGCAGACTAGTCTTAGTGGTCCCTCCATCATCTGTAAATGGAATAACAACAAATTTGCTCAACGAGTCCTTGTGAGGTTGAAATCAAGATCCTAAAGCACTTCACACTTTTTTAAAAAAATGCAACATAAAATGATAAATGGCAACATGAATTTGCCTTTAGCTGCTTTAATTTAAAGGCGCCTCAAGTCATCAACACCACCACTTCCCCCTGGTCGAAAGACAAGTAGGCTGCTCTTGCAGCCACCTATAAAAGCTTCCTAAATGGCCCCTGTTGGGAAGCCTGAAAGCTGCAGCATGAAGATTTTCTAAGAATCAATTAAATTATTAAAAAGCAGAGCAATATTCACAGTCTTCCTAGGATGATGTGTTCCTTAGCAACACAAACTGTTCACCTCTACTGGCTTTTGGTCAATTACTGCATACACAAAGGGTTGTTTCTGAGGGCTCTGATGAGGGCACCCCTTAGGTACAGTAGTACCTCGTGTTATGTAACCTTCTGGTTACGTAAACCTCAGGATGTGAACACAGCAAACCCGGAAGTATTTTTCCGGGTTTCACTACACGCGCATGTTCAGAAGTGCTCTACCGCGCTGCGCACATGCGCACAACAAGCACCTCCGGTAGCGAAAACCTCAGGATCCAACCGGAGCTCCGTAACAGATCCCGTCCGCAACCAGAGGTACCACTGTATTACGGATCATCATCATCATTAACATTTCTCAGCCACTTAATACAAAAGAAGGTGTTTCAAGTTGACTTGACAGAATAAATCAACGACAAGCAAACTGAAACCAGAAAAAAATATAAAACAAATGACAATACAAAATACGTAAGATGCTCATCCAGTGCTCATTAAAAAGGACAACGCGTACCCACCCAAGTACATGCAACTGTCCTGAGTATAAGTGGGGAAAGTGTATCCCTTCAACGGTGATAACTGAATGTACTGGTAAGGGTGGACATCACACACTAATGCCAGTGGGAAGGGGGATAACAAGAGAACTTTCTTCAAGCAGCAAGAACAATATAGAGCAGGTGCCAGTCATCTTTGCCAGCTGGATACTTAAAAGACCACTTCCAAAACCAAGGAAAGGAGGGAAAAAGGAAGGCCTGATCACGCTTTTCTTTTCTTTTTTAACAGCTTTTAGAGATGTTGTGGGGAGGCGGCAGGGGACTGAAAATGACTCACTAAGCAGCTAAAAACAATGAGGTATTATGGCCAACACTGATATAGCTGTGCAGAAAACAAGGCAAACAGCAGCTGCTTTTCTCTCTCTTTCCTGTGTGACATTTTGGAGTGACCTCTGCCACGTGCCTATTAAAGGTGCATAGCCGATGGTTCCGCTCATCCAGGGATGATGAAAAGGCACCCTGTACAAATTTGGAAGCGTATTTCTAACGTCATTGAGAATGCTCTCCAAGATGGCGCCGAGGCAAGTCACGCTCTCCGGCGTTCACTTTTATTTTTAAAAACCTTACCTTAATTGCCCTCCGGATGCCAATTTTTAACAAACGGAAAACATTTTAAAGACTCTGAACATTTTTATAACTCCTGTCGGCTCTGTGAGCTTCAGCTTGTCCCAGCCTGCTCCCTCCCTCCTTATCAGCTGCCCGGTCAAGGTTGCCAGAGAGGAGAGAACGCTGCTGCCTGAACTGAGAGCAGAGAGACAGAAGAGGTCTAAAGACAGAACTGTGAACTGCTTACCTGACCAACGGTGCCTGGAGAAGGAGGGTAAGGAGAGATACGACTGTGAGCTTTGCTTTGAGATTGGCCCACAGACACCCAGCTCTGCTGAACACAGAGAAAGATAAAGCTTGGAGATTCGGGGTTAACTGAATTGACTGACCCCCGCCCAGCTGGGGGGCTGTGTGAACTAGCTGGGGACAACATTCCTGCTTAGTTGAAGAGGTAGTGCTGTAGCTGGAAAGACTCTTCATTTTAATAAACTCGTTCGAGGAGACCAGCTTTTATATTCTTAGAGACTCCTGGCGAAGGCACCCTCAGTTTTTTTTACAGGAACTTTTTAATCTACACAATAACTCCACAACAGGGTATCGGATAGGACCCTATGGAGGTTTGGAAAACCGGCTTCAGCAAGATATCGTTCTGTGCCCTGCCTTATGTGGTAGGCCTTTGAAAGACTACCTAGAAGGAACCAGCGAACCAGCCCACAGAAAGTTTCCCTTCTGGGGCTCTTGGATATCCTTCGTTCAGTATAGGGCGGTGGAAGATGGCCTCTAAAGACTAAGCTAAGACCCGAAATACAAGGTTATCATAGCTGTACATGCGCTATAGCCAAACTCCACTATTATCCTTTTCCAGCTGCATATAAATTGCCTAAATAAGGCAATTTTAATTTTAATGTAGTTTTTAGCCGTTTTATTACTGCTGTCTCTCTGGCAGCATTGTTTTATTATTATATTCTGACTAGGTTGCAGCATTTGTGAAATAGCGCTGGTCGCATGATTGAGGTGAAAACTACAGGCTTAGGACAATTGCCAAGATCTAAAAGCAGAGAACTCAAAATAGAGAAATATATCGAGGCTGTTGATGAGCACATCAGGAAGCTGTTACAGAGAGCAGGTGGGAATATAGATTGATACCCCCACTTGCCCCCCAATCTAAGGCAGCCGCACCTGGGGTAAACTGCCCTCTCTCTATATCAAGACCACTTTTACCATGGTTTTTACTAGAAGAAAATACAAGGAGTTGGATATACTGCCTGACTTGGCAATCAGCCCCTCGGGCCCTGGTAAAAGACAAAGCAAAATCACAAATTACTTTCCTAAGATGGAGGAGGGTAAGAGTCCACAAAAAGAGTTAATTCTTGATGAAGTAATACCCCCCTCTCTTACTGCTCTTGATTGGACGTCTAATTTTAAAGAGATATACCAAGATTCTGGAAATATTAACTCCCCATGCAGCCTAGCGCAAGAACTAGCTTTAGCCGAGGAACTTCAGGAGGGAAATACCTCTATTACTAAGGAACAGCTGCCCACGGAAGAAATTACATCAACCCATCAAAACCAGATACCTACTCCAAAATACTCTCAAACAGAATTGAGTGACGGTCGCCCTTTGGATTATTCCCTAGCAATAAGTTCTGATTTAGCCAACATAAAAATTATCTAACAATAACAAACGGGCTACTGCTGACGTTAGTAGAAAATTTCACATCTCAATTAAAAGAGTTAAAATTAAATGATATGCCACAAGAACATAAAACAGTTGAGCTAGCGTCGATGAACAAACCAGTAATAAATAAGAATCTGCAAAGACATAACTCAAGGGTAAAAGTGAAGAAAAGTAAAAATATTAAAACAACAAGGATAGCCAAGCATACCCGCAGTAATCGAAACATACATTGGCAGAAATTGTTTAAACTTCTTCCCCAGCCCCAAATAAATCGACCACACGGGGCAGCAAAAAGAAGGGTAAAAAGAGAGAAACAAAGGTAGTTACACAGCAACCGGCTAAGGAGGACTCGCCAAGGCTGACTCCAGTAGCAAGTGAGAAGGCAGAAGTAACAACTCAGTCCTTGGATAACCAACTTTTTAATAAACCTGATGCTGCGGAAGTAGAGGCCTCTTCCTATGAAGGCAATAAAACATTTAGCAAATCGAACAGCGGGGAAGAGGAAGCGTTTAGTAGAGATGATACCCCCCTTCAGACCTGGCAAGCCTCCAGTCAGGAAAGAGATTGGAATTTGATCCTAAATCCCCAAAAACTGGTATTCACGAACTTCCCGAAGCCTAAGGGCTTCCTTACAGGGAAACAGCGAATAATGAACTTTGTATCTAGTCTAAATGACATACTGCCAGGAATGGTTAATGCTAATGATATCACCTCGGTGGAATATTTACATTATGATGGTCACTCAGTGAGAGCACTGACCACTTTTAGGGATCAGAACCTGGCCAAGTATATTTTTAGGTCAAGACCTGCCTTTTTAAAAGCACGGACAATAATACTTAGGTTCTTTGAAAATAAGGCTCCTTTGAGCCCCCTTTTGAAAACTAAGCAGGCAAATCTTAGAAAGGGGAAACAACTCTCAAAATCCTGGCCTGACAAACAGAACCCGCAATGCCTTGCAAGTAAAGGTGAGGATTTCTTTACTATGGAAGAAAATATCCTAATTGACCAATTCTGGATGTTCCCACCATTAATACAAACTGACATCTTGGGAAGACTAGATAAGCTAAGAGATAAGCTGGCCGAGAGAGCTTCAGGCAACGAGGTTATCAAGGGGGACCAAAAAAAGACCACAACACGTAACCTTCAGATTAAAGCGGAGATTAACTTTCCACCAAGAGAGAATGTGCCACCCTTCAAGGAGAGTACTCCATCACCCCCCCGAAAGAGAAATATCCCCAAGGTGACCCCACAAGACGTATGGGACAAAATGAGATACCTAGATGAAACAGAATTGGGCCAAAATCAGGCCAAAACAGACTATCCACAGAAGGAATTTATGCATAATAAAGATCTGGTGTTCACAAACGTGAGCACTTTGCATCCACCTATTGAAATCATAGAGCGGCTGGATAGCCCGCCATTTAAAGACGATAGGCGCCCGATACATAAAGCGACAAACCCTAAAAGTACGTTAGCTAATAATTGACAAAGATTTGATTGTGATAAAGCCAATCTTAAATTTATATCATGGAACATTGCTGGTTGGCTCAACAAGGCGACTGACCAATCATTTGTCAATTTTATTCAAGATCATGATATAGTCTTCTTGCAAGAGACATGGCTAACAGGGGATCTAGATGTAAATGGTTTTGCCTCATTTTCGCTCGCAGGCTCACCAAGCAACAAAGGGGGACGAGTTAAGGGTGGGCTAGGCATTTTAATATCCACAAGGTTGAGAGCATCTTTCGTCGAGCTGGAGCCTCTGAGCAGTGTGGCCATGGCATTATTGATGAAATGCAGATATTGCACACTCCTATTGATTAATATATATGCCCCTCCCCAAAGAGGCAAGCAGCTTATCAAAAATCTCTGGCATAGGATAGAATCTTATGTCGATGAGCTAATGAATCAAACTCCTGCTGCGGCAGTGCTGCTGGCTGGGGATTTAAATGCCAGAATTGGCCAATCAGACGAAGCGTTATATGCTCATTTTCACGACGTACCTCCCATTTCTGAAGAAGCCCATTCTATTCCCCAAGGCTCTCAAAAGACAAGGGCTGCAATTACGCAGGCCTATGTCTTCTACGTTTTCCAACAATCTGGATTTGACTGTATTAAATGGTCGTGTCGACAGAGAACCCAGTGGGGAATTTACATTTATATCCAACATGGGAGCCTCCACTATCGATTACGTCCTGGTGTCATCTAACCTTTTGAGCAGAGCACGGGAATGTAAAGTGGTGGAGAGGGTTGACAGCGACCATCTACCGTTCTGTTTAATACTGGATGTAAGAAAAGATTTATTTTGCTCTGATAAACTTGTAGCCCCATGCTTCGAAAACATGGAGCTAAGATACTCACGTATTAAATGGTCCAGCAAATTGAGTGATGAAATATCGGAAAGACTTCACTCAGATATTTTTCTTGCTAGAAAGGAGAACCTCGTTAATTCCCCAACTCCTGAGGCCAGATTGGACATGTTCCGGGAACTGATTTCGTCGCTACAACCTTATCTGACCAACAAAAAAACGCCACGGCAATCTCTACACTTTAATAAATCCAAACCTTGGTTTGACCAAGAATGCATGGCCATGAAACGCCTCCTGCTGGATAAGTACAGGAACTATAGAACAGCGAACTTACCTTCGCTTCCATTAGACTGGTTTGAGTCAAAACGCAGTTATAAAGCTTTGATTAGCAAGAAAAAGCTCCAGGCACAAAGGGAGGAATGGCAGTGCCTAGTGGAGGCCTCCCAAAGGAAAGATTCTGCCACGTTTTGGAAAATAATTGCAAAAAGCTGGAGAGACTCCCGATTGAAATCGAATACTCTATACCCGCTGGAGCATGGGAGGCCTATTTCCTCTCATTATATTCATCAAATCAACTGGCCCCAGCTCTGCTTCCTGCTTCAAGTGAATTTGGTAAGGAATGGCCCCCTGTAACCATAGAAGAAATTACTGGACTTATTCAAGCTCTTAAATCAGGGAAAGCCCCGGGTGCTGACAATATCCCTCCAGAAATTCTTAAGGCAAATGTCGAATGGTGGGCCCCTGTGCTAGCCGCCTTGTTCACTAGTATAAATCAAGCGGCTATTATCCCCGAGGACTGGGGTTTAGCCATCATCATTCCAATATTTAAGAAAGGAAACAGAACTGAGCCAGCTAACTATAGACCAATCAGTCTATTAAGTATTATTAGCAAACTGTATGCTGCTCATTTATGTGATAAATTAGTGGAGTGGATGGAAAGAGAGCATATTCTATCAGAAGCTCAAGCTGGTTTTAGAGCAAAGCGTTCAACTATAGACCAGGCCCTTACCCTTCAACACCTGGCAGACAAATACTCTAGAAAAGGGGGGTCTTTATATGCAGCATTCGTGGATTTTAAATCGGCGTTTGATCTAATACCAAGGGATAGACTCTGGGAAAAGCTTGGCGCTACAAACATAGATAAACGCTTATTACGCCTTATCCGTGGTCTATACGAAAACACCAGGGTGAGGGTAAGATGCGATCGGTCAGGCCATCTAACTAAAGAAATTCAAACGCACTATGGGGTTAAACAAGGATGTGTCCTCGCGCCAACGCTATTTAATTTCTATATCAACTCTCTAGCAGTAAATATGGCGAAAGAAAATGCCCACCCTCCCAAACTGGCAGGTATTCCCATCCCGGTGCTTCTGTATGCGGACGACGCAGTCCTACTCTCCTTTTCCTGCATTGGCCTGAGGAAGCTTTTGAGATCACTTGCTGACTATTGTCAAGCGGAACAACTATCAATAAATCACAGCAAATCTAAAATTATGGTGTTTTCAAAAAAGAAGGAAACACAAATGGAGAATTAATGGTCAACCTATTGACCAGGTAGCAACTTTCAAATACCTGGGAGTAACTTTTCAGGAAAGGGTCTCGTGGCATCAACAGATGAAAACGCCATTGCCAACGCAGGAAGGGCTAATAAAGCCCTTACAAGATTTTTTCACGGGAAAGGGGGTAAATACGTTCCGGCGGCCTCCCAGGTTTTTGCTGCAAAAACACTCCCACAACTTACTTATGGATCCCAGGTTTGCAGTTTTAAAATTTTGCGCCTATGGAGGCATTTCAAACAAAATTCTATCGGTGTTTATTGGGGATCCCCCCCTGTGTATCTAATATAGCTGTCCGCTTAGAAGTTGGACAACCACCCGTTAATGCGCGGCTGTGGATTCTAAAGATACACTACTGGTTAAAACTTATTTTTTCCCGGCCGGTTTGGCTCCTTTAACACTCTTAGACACCTTTCATTCCACCTGGAAAGCTTCCCTGTTTGAAAAGATAAGAAGCCTGGGATTCTCCCCGCAGATCTTGATAGCGGCAGGATATGAGAGAGCCAGAAGTCAAGTGCTCCAACGCATTAGGGACATAGAGCTGCAATGTCATATGGGCAAAATGGATAAACATGCCATAATTAGAGACTTTGGGAGAGGGTTCTCACCCGCAAATTATTTGGCTGATTTACAAATACCTAAGTACAGACACTCCTTTACCCTGGCCAGATTTAACGTTCTGCCCTCTGCCCTGCTGCTAGGCAGATATGAGGGCAAACCATATGAGTCACGTGTTTGCCCGTGTGGCTCATCGGAAGTGGAAACAAGTCTGCATGTATTGCTGCACTGTAGTTACTATGAGGATCTACGTTTGACCTTTATTGCCCCAGTTCTACAAAAGCTTAAAAATGAACCAGAACTCCAACGTATGAGAGCCTTGGTAGAAGATAAGGTTTCTGAAATTACGATCAATGTGGCCAAATTTTGTGTAGCCGCTATTAGGCGCAGGAAACAAGAGCTTTCCAATGGCATTACGCAGGCGAAGGCAAATACTTAATTTTTATTTATGCTGTCTAATTTTAAATTGCAGTTATGTATTGAAATTGTCCTTTGTTTTTTCCGGTGTTATGCTTAGCTGACTAGCTGTACGAGTTAATCTGGTCTGTGACCGTTTAATAAATTTGATTTGATATGGCCAACACTCGCCCCCGCCTCCATCAGCTGGGGTTTTCCATCAGGGTTGACTCTTGGGGCTTTTGGGACAAGATGCCTTAAGGGGGTCCCCCCCCCAGCCACCCTCTCCTCCTCCTTCCCACTGCCACCCCTGCCCAATCCCTTGCTCTTCCTCTTCTGGTCCCAATCTGCCTCACTGCTCCACAAGGCAAGTGGAGGCTGCTGCTGCTGCTGCTGCTGCTGCTGCTGCTGCATGTTCTCTTTGGTCTTGCTGTTGCTTTCACATTTGGGGAAGGCAGGTCAGCAGACAGCAAAGCAAGGAGGAGTGAGGCTGTAGCACAAGAGGCAGGGGGTGATGAGCAGCAGTCCCTCTGCCAAGGTTTAACAAGTGCCTGATTGTTCATTTATTAATCACGGCCCACCCACATCTAAAAGGTGCTGTACAGAATACAACGTCTTTCCGAACTGGTGACAAGATGTGTCAACTGTTTCACGCTCTCACCACCAGAGGGTTGGCAAACAATTATACGAAGCCTGTAAAAGAGCTTCCTCTACTGGAAGCTCATATACAAGCGACCATTTGCAGTTTGCCAATCAAGCCCTGCTCCCCTCCACCACCTTGGTTTCTCCTTGGGAACATGGAGAAGCTGTAGACCATAAATGTTTGGTCAGCTGCCTCCTTCAAATAGTGAATCATTATATTACAAGACTTAGATAAATTATGTGACGGACCTATGATTAGATTTCTGTGCTTGAACAAACTTACTTCAAAGCAGCTGTCAAAGACCCTAGTTTTGAATGGAGCAGCAGCATATGAAGATGGGTCTTTAAATGTCTTTGTTTGCATCATTTCCCCAATCTAAAGCCCTACTCCCCCCCAAGTCTCTGTTATCTCCACTGGGGATTTTTCTTTAAACAAAAAACACTCAGCTGTATTTTCTTCCCCCTGCCCTGCCCCCAAAGAGGGCCAATAGCTACTTGGAGGAATTCAGATCAGGGCAAAGGTGTGTGAAGGAAAACTTAAAATCTCCTTTCCTAACATTGTTTCTCTGGCCAAAATCAGCCCTACATGGCTGTTTTGATGGATAATAAAATAAAATAAAAAACACTTTCTGTGACCCATTTACAGGTATCCTGTGTTACATCTCATACACGCATATGATACACACACATAACTCATCTCTTCTTTGGCTCGAGACTGAGAATGCAACAACACCACTATATACGTAAAACGTGAAATGCCAGCTCATCCATGGAGATGCACATGAGCCAAAGCAATGCCCAACTTCTTACCAACTGAGATGAATGTTTTATTCTTTCCACAATCCCATCGTGTCCAAGGTACTGCAAGGAGAGCCACAGAGGCAGAGCACGCAGCTTCTCAACTGCCTGGCTAGAGGTCAAGCCTGCAACCAAGGACTGTGAACAAAACAACAACATATTTGCATTCATTACTTTTTGCTGGATTTGTTATTCCATCGTATGTGAAAAATTCAGGGTGGATGCAGGGGTTGCCAACCTTTGGAGTTTGGATCAAGCAGTGAGCATATATACAAAGAAATAAGCTTACCAAAGAAGGATCCTCATGTCTGTAGAGAGTCACTGCAGGCACTGCTGGGAGACCTAGCCAGGGCCCCAGAGTCAGGGTCATGCTGTCACATTTGGTTGCGGCCTGCAGAAAGGAAGGCAGAGTTATATTATTTGAGTGCAACTCAAAACAATGGAACCCATGAGCCAAACTTCTAAAAATGAGAGACCAGCCTAAAAAAAAGTAAACGATAATGAAAATGACTGGCTCAACTTGGCGTGGGGATTAAACAAATTCAGAGGCCTGTTGGCATAAAAAAGTATTTAGGAGACACCTGAAAATTAGCAGTAAGGATGCCTCCTGGATCTTTGCTGGAAGAGCAGTCCACTTTTGTGGAATTTGGCAACACTAAATGCCTGACTTCTAGCTGAAGACAGCTGGGCCTCAGAAACACAGAGGACATCCTCCAGATGATCTCAGTGATCAAGTTGGGATATAAGGGGGAAGGCAGTCTTTAAGGTATTTTGAATCCAAGTTCTTCAGGGCTTTGTATTTTAATATGAGTCCTGAACCTGGAGCATATGGGCAGCCACTGCAGATGTTTCAACAGAGGTGTTGCATGCTGCTGGTTATCTCTCTTCACCAGTGGCTTAGCAGCTGGGGCTTCCAGGCCAAGGCAGCCTCACTTTGAAGTAGCTCAGAGCTGAAGTTACCAATGGAGAAATGGAGCTGCCTGTCATCAGTATATTGCTGTCAATACGCTGACAACACCTGAACCAAAACTTGAAATGACTGCTGTCAATGGCCTCGTGTTGATGTTAAATAACACTGGGGACCAAAAAGAGGGCCCTGCAGGACCCCATAGCACAAGTTCAAGGGAGTAAAAAAGCACTCCCCTAACGTTACTATATGGACTTGACTGTAGGTATAATGAAACCACTGCACCTCTAAAACCCATCTTGAACAGTTGGTTCAGGAGGATATCATGATCAATGGTCTGAAAAGAGACAGAATAAATTCAGTCCCCTAAACCCACACTGAAGAAAGCAGAAACATACCAGTACAGATGACGAGACATAACCCAAAGCCAAAGTAGCCAAATTCACCCTGAAAGAAACAAGAAAACTCAGTTTTAGATTACACTGGATATTCCTTGCCTTCTCTAAATGCTAACTTTTCACTTTAGTTTCATTTTAAATATTTTGTGATTCTGTACTTAGGGAAGCTGTATGTGTAGAAACCGGAATTTACAGCTGTATGCTGTAGAAACTGGAATTTATTCCAAGATTCTGGACCTGAAAGAGACACTTTGTTTTAATCCAGTTAGTGGTTAAGGCAGGGGTCGGCAAGGTTTACCTTGCCTGGGCCGGTTCACTCCAGCCCCTCTGTGGGCTGGATTGCGCACACGCATGAGCCCCCCCCCCCCAATTTCCGGCCTCTGCGTCGATGTGATTTTCAGTGTCTGCGCATGTGCAGAGGCAATGCCATGCTGCACCAATTTAGCGCAGCGTGTGGGGACTCAAATAGATGCACAGCACTGTACTGTCCTTTAAAACTCTCCCTGAAACAGCTCTGTGAAAACCCGTTCATCAAAATCTCCCCAATTTTTTAATCAATGGCATCTATTGCCTTCTCCTTTTTTACAGTCACTTCACTTGTTTTTAGTTTAGGAGATTTTTAAAAGGGGATTGTAATTCAGGATGGGGAGTGACTAATGAAGAAGTAAGATGCAAAACCATGCACAAACCTGGCCATGCCATTTGTGCACATGTTATTTACCTTCATGGGGATCTCATGCACAGTTAGTCAACTTAACATTACATTAAAATGGCACTGTACCCTTCGACATGTAGCCACATGCCATGCTGCTCACAGAGTTCTTTCAGTCGCCCAAGTTTGTCTGTGTGCCCTGCTCCTGGTGTACCTGCATCGAAAGGGAAGAACAACAATCCAAATGCAAAAAAGATTGGTCGCTAATGGCCGCAGCCACTTAACATGAACTCTCCTAGGCACTTTGTTAGGCTCAGAATTAGTTGGAATTCCATTTCAACAAAGTAAAGTTTTATAGTAAGTAGTGCAGCGTTCAGTCTTTTCTATTTCCAATACTCCTTTAGCAACAACTGCCCCAGGGCAGGCTTCCTGTGTTAAGGAATATTTGCCTCCCAGTCAACACATGGTGGAGACGTGAAAGCATGGCTTCCCTTTCCAGCCACCTGATTCGCTTGTCCTGCCTCAAGCTACACTCCAGTAGCCTTGTGCTTTTTTTAACAGTACGGTGCCCAGAAATGGGGGCTTTATTTTGATAAGCATGTTTGCATGGAGCACTTCAACTGTCCAAGCAACTCAGTGACCATCTGAGCCCTAATTTTTGGGAAACCAAGATCCCCCACCTTCAGCAGGCATCTTTTTTTGTACCTAGCATATGGGGGGTGCTGAGAAAGGAATAGCCAGGGGTGCGGTCAACCAGCCCTACTGAGACTTGGTGTGTGGCTCAGCTGCGCTGCTGCATGCAGGCCCCACCCAGAATCTAATTAATGTTGCAATGAGAGGGACCAGAGTGGGAGCTTCTCCCCCTTTGGAATACTCCTGGTGCTGTCATCTGGGCACTGGCTAGCACTCCCATGCCTGAGGCCAGTTTAACTCAGAGAAGCATAGGTTTCCCTACTCTCCCTCCCTCTCTGCTGTGGGCACAATCCTAGCTCTCATTTAAAAGAAGAGAGGCTTCTAGACTTCATAGTCAGGTTATTTAGTTAGTGAGTGTGGAGGGGCATTCCATCATGGGAGCCCCCACCTGCAAATGTGAAGTGGAACAGCCCAGACACTGGCTTGCTACCTTTGTGAAAACTAGGACCAAGCCTGGCAACTCAGATATAAAGCAGCCAGTTAACAGCATTCTATCTATAAATTAGAAATTTGAGGTTCTATTGAGAGTAGGTGAGAAAGTGCATGGGGCGGGGGCGGGGAAGTAGTAGCCAAATTTCATCTGCTAAAGATACCTACCAGCATTAGCCACTACCAATATTGGTAGCTTTCCAGAGTCAATGTCCTCCTTAATCAATTTGTCCAGCAAAGCAACATCCTGCCACCAAGCAAAGGAGGGAACAATTATTTATGTACACAAATGGAACAAGGCCGTGTGCTGCTGCTTCTGCTCAAACTTACCATCTGATGCTGAGATCCAAACATGGTGTTACAAGGCACCCGGCACATACAGGAAAGAGGCAAACCAAGCTGCAGAGGGACGAGACAGAAGTTATACCCCTAACGTGATCTGAGCGTTTCAGATTTCCATGTTTGTGTATGTTTTTGAAGAAGGCTAAGATGGGCTTATTCAGATCTGCTTATTCAGAGCCATGTTGCAACCATTCACCATGATCTGCACTGTTTCTAAACACAGGTTAACGTCACTAATTTATAAAGCCCTAAATGGCTGGGGGTCTAAATACTTGCTGGACCACCTTTCCCAGTAGGTGACAGTCTGGCCAGAAATACTGTTGCGGGGGTGGGTGGGGAAGGAGATGGCAACCAAGCCATGGGCCTTATCCATTGTGATGCCTTTTTTGTGGAATACCCAGCTGGCAACCTTTCTGATAGGGGTCAAAGCACTATTATACTTCTCAACATGTAAACAAAAGTAAAGTTGAGAAATCTAAACTGATGAAGTATAATGCATGTGTAATTTAAGTGAGGAGGTATGCGATGGGAGAATAGAGAAAACACAGGTTTAGCTTGCAACTTGAAAGGCCTCAATCTCACAGAGCTACTCTATCATTTGGAAAAGAAAACTGCCACTGACGTTAACCATAACTTTGAGGTTTAAAAAGAACTGAAATGCAACGGACCCGACCTTGGTTCATACGTGGAAATCTGAGAGAAGGACCACCTGGCACAGGTGAAGTGTGTCACAGCAGGGAGGTCATTAAGTTCTATGTATACGCATCTTGAGCAGGCCCCACCCAGGTAGGTAGCCGTGTTGGTCTTATGCAGTCGAAATAAATAAAAAAATTAAAACATTGTCCAGTAGCACCTTAGAGACCGACTAAGTTTGTTCTGGGTATAAGCTTTTGTGTGCATGCACACTTTTTCAGATACACTGGACAATTTTTAATTTTTTAAAAAATTTATATCTTGAGCAGTGAGCCTCCAGTGGACTGCACAGCTCTTTTGGGCCAGATGTCTAATTTTACAAACGGAATTGAGCTCAGAAGCCATCGGTTTTTCCCATTTCCAGCATAAGCAGCCTATACTGAGTGCTGATTGGCTCTTCCTTCTGACAGCCATGAAGTCACCCCACACTCCCCCAAGCAGCCTCTAAGCATTTTTATTTGAAGGAACAACATAAAAAGTTTAAACTGATGAAGACATGCCAAGCACCTTAATTAAAAACGAAACAAGAGCCTGCCTGAAGGAACTGGGGGTGGGGGGCATCCACACTGGAGTCAGAGTCAACCAGGGGTCTTATCACACTACACTGGCTCCCATCAGTAGGCACAGTGGCAAGCACCTTAACTTGGATAAGATATAGGCTGCAATTCTGCATCCAGTCAGGTGAGTTAAATCCCACTGAAGTCAACCTGTATGCAGGGTTGCGGTCATACTAAGTGGAATACAGAACATTCTATGTGAATGTAGGCAGGCAGGCTAAAACTTCAGAGTTCCCTCAGCTATAACATTCTGCAACAACAGGACATCAGAATAAAAAGATACCATCTGAATGTGAGCAAGAGAGACAAGTTTATTTCACAGATGCAAGGATATTTCAACAGAAAGTATAGATGCGTAATGAAACCAGCTAAGGGGACAACATGATAAAGAAAGTGTCACTTACAGATAAGACCCCAAAAGTTCCATTTTACCTGATTACAAAGAGCTTGTCCCAAGCCTGCTCTGGCTGCAGAGCTAATGTATATAACAGGCTGCTTGTTATACAGCACGTTAAAGCCTTCCGTTGTATAGTCTTCGTAGCGCGAGTGAATCACGAGTCTGCAGACTTTTAAAAGGCCCTCACGGTCATCTTCATGATAATACGCTGACCCATTTTCAAACCTGTTCAGAGAAATTATTACGTAAATATGAGCTTACAGAAAAGGCACCAGTTCACTTACCAAACATTACAATTATGCAGAAATGGAAGACACTTTCTACTCTGAATGCTCTAGGCGGGGGGGGGGGGGGGGGGTATTTTCCTTCGACTTAAAATGAACAGAACAGTTGCATAAAAAGGTTCACTTATTTGTCCAGAATAAGATTCAAGGAAGCAGGGGGTCCGGAATCCATGGTCCTCCTAATGTTTTTGGACTGAAACCCCTATCATTCCTGACCATGCTAGCCGTGGCTGATGATGGGAGGAGGAGTCCAGCTGCCTCTGAACGGCTGCAGTTTCACACCGGAGAAGGTTTGCGCAGTCGATGAATACCCTGGCTGCCTCATACCTTCAAAACTGCCACTCCAACTGACTGTATCATTTTCATATATTTGGGATTATAACTCAGAACTTTTTTTGTTTTTTTTACTGTAATGTTTATAATCAAGTC